ACATGATTGAAATACAATCCTCAAGACACAAAAGAACACACTCAAGAGGGTACTATTAAAATATAAATCCATTGTGATAGGCTGAAAAGAATGGTATTATAAATCCTGATAATTCCTAAAATAAGATAATGGAAAAATAAGTCATAATAAGTACATAATCAAATATTCCACGTCAAACGATGATAGCATCTTCCCTTAGAAACTCACAGAAGTCTTAGCCCACTCTATTCTTCCAACTTGGTTCGTGAATTCAAAAGTCAAAAAAATTTTTTCTACCAGGAAAGCAAATATTTTTATCACATTCCTCTTGTTCTCTTGACTTTTTAAAGAAAGTGATTTCATGAAAGTTTAGGCAGCAAGTGACACAGACAGTAGCGAAGGTTATTTGGGTGATAATGATATTAAAAATTGGGAAATGCTGCCTTTGCAAGTGAAAAACAAAAAAGGTCAGAATCTTAAGAAGTTTCTCCAAGGGAACACTCATTGTCCTCTGTGACCAAAGACATTGTGTCTATAAATTCATCTAAGTGAAATTACATCGATGGCACCAGACACCAAGCCTGGAGCCAAACTGAGACAAGAGGGAACAAATGAAGACTCACAATGCATTTCTCTGAGGAAAACAAAGCATTACCACAGAACGCCTCAGCGCGTCCGTCTGGGAGGGCTGCACCAACTCCATTCCCAAAGAATCATTACTCTGGTTCTCTAAGCGAGGGATGCAGAGATCAGGGCATCTCCCTTACTCCTAAAGCAGGCAGCTTCAAAGACAACTGGGAAGCCCTAAAGATAGAGACTTGGGGGCTGTGTGGGGCAGTGGTTAAGAAGACCCTGCTGTCTGAATCCCAACTTTTCCATTTGCCATTGTAACGGAGGGAAAGTTTTCTTAAACCTCTGCCCCTCGATTTCCTCATCTGTAAAACATAGGTGATTATACCATTTGCTGATTTGGATTAAATGAGATTTGGATTCATGAGATGCTTCACATATAATCAGTAAATGTTAGCCACGACGACAATACGGGATGCTGCTGATACGGTGTATATTATCGTTTGTGCCCTTCCCCCAAAGAGTTATGGTAGAGCTATGCTATGCTAGAGCCTGGAAACCCATCCGGTTTGAACAGCTGAGAGAGGAAAGGAGTCTTTGACTAAATTTCTGAAACATTTCTTTTTCCTAGAACACTACTTTGAATTGGTATTTATTACTTATTTTAAAATTCTTAACAATCTATACTGCTTTGCCGAGTTGAGAAGGAATCTTGGGAGAATCTAAGTTAGCCTCCACAGAAATTTTAAAGACAAACTAATCGGAGAATCAAGATACAAGAAAATGAACAACAATGATTTCTAAGAACATAAGGTTTAGCCTTTAAACAATTTTCCTTCTAAGGTGATGTGAGCTTTAAAAGTTACTAGAGGATCATAAGCTCATCATTTAATCTATAATACTCTTGGAAAGAATACAGTCCATGAAAAAAACAGTTGAATTTTGGATCAAAGGCAATTTTTCCTAACGTAAAAAGACTTTGCTTCTAAAAACCCATCCACACTACCTCATAGTATCCTAAAGGCGAGGAACGTTTCTTTTTTGCCCACGTGAAACCACAACGTACTTAATACAGACTCTACTCACTCAGTGAAGGTTTTCGTCTGACCTTTCCAGAAACACGTGGACGTGACTCTCCTGGTGAAATCATAGAGCTGTCATTTGGTGGAGATACTTCTTTTAAACCTATACCCTGGGTTTAAACCCACTTTTATTTAGAAAAACTAAATAGCAAAGAATTCAAACTGAGCTAACCTCAAAATTTAAAAATCTGCCTTACTTCCGTTTGATTGTCAGTTGTTATTCCCTCAAATGTTCAGTGTACCTCTCGTGTCGGGTATAGCCGTTGCAAAAAAAAAAAAAAGGCTCCGATGGACTTTTAAGGTTTCACACATCCTTCGAAGAACACAATCAGGGGGTACCTACTCTCACTTTATAAACTAATTGACCATGATGCCGGAGGAAGAATGTTTTAATAGAAGGAAAGGAACTGTCCAGCACATTATAGCACACAAACAAGAAAAAAAAATCAGACGCCCCTTATGAACGCTAAGCTAATGCCAAGGATAGGTCTCTAAGAAAGGGCCTACCGCACTTGTCCTTTTTGGGGGCTGGAACGGTGGCTCTGTCAGGCTGCCCAACCTCTTCCCCGGTGGGCAGGATCTTTTCTGGGAAAAATATTGCAACAGTGTTTGTAGTCCTGCCTTCTGCTGGGTCCTTTCTTGGTGTACCTCCAAGAAGAGAATCAAAGAAATGTAGAGCTAGAAATTATTTTGGAGAGTTTACAGATCAGAAGAAATGAAATCCAGAAAAAGGAAGTAATTTACTCAAGTCCAAACACCCAACAAATAGTAGGACTGGAGCTGGATCTAATGGCCTCTATTGCTTCTAAGCCCAGCTGCTGCTTTGGAAGATCTCAGAATTCAGAATCTCCCAGAAAAGTTTAGCTTTATATATGTTATAGTGTTATTAATAGAACATTAACTAGATACGCAGAGGGCAAATAGGCAGTGATCCAATCATCCAACTAAGATTTGAGTAAGGTGTTGTAAATTTGTTACATATAATAGAAAACAACCAAATTTACTAAAAGTTAAAATATTTTTGTGTTAAGAGAAATGTTTACCTGCTGTGAAAATAGCTTCATCATCTTGAATTTAAAAATGTATATAAGTGTGATATTATTAATTCTACCGACATTTTTGAAATTTCACTATTACCAGACATAGTCCTAAGTGTGAAGATGCAGTGGGGAAAAAAGAAAGAAAAGAAAAGAGGAAAGAACCTTGTTCCAACTTGCCGATGAATTGAGGAGGCTGATGTCAAACAGACTAACCAGTGTGATAGTGGGAAGTGGGATTACAGCTGTGCCTGCATGGGGTGTGATGCCTATGGCTGGACAACGGAAGGGGGGCTTAACTGTGGAGAAGGAAAGAGAAGGTTTCCCCAAACAGATGCACCAGAGCTGCATCTGGAAAAAAGGGAACTAAAAGAAAATGCATTGAAAGAAGAGAGAGAACGGGTGCCTGGGTGGCTCAGTGGGTTAAGCCTCAGCCTTCGGCTCTGGTCATGATCTCAGGGTCCTAGGATCGAGCCCTGCACTGGGCTCTCTGCTCAGCGGGGAGCCTGCTTCCCCCTCGCCTCCTGCCTGCCTCTCTGCCTACTTGTGAGCTCTCTCTCTCTCTCTCTGTCAAATAAATAAAATCTTAAAAAAAAAAAATTTAAAAAAGAAGAGAGAGAAGCATGAACCAGCCAGTAGTTGTGATGGCATGTGGCAGATCTGGGAACTATGTACTTCTTCTTTTTGAAGATTTTATTTGTTTGTTTATCAGAGAGACAGCACAGCACGGGGAGCGGCAGGCAGAGGGAGAGATGCAAGTCTCCATCTCAGGACCCGGGGTCAGGACCTGAGCCAAAGTCAGATGCTTAACTGACTGTTCCACCCAGGTGTCCTGGGACTATGTACTTCTAAATGGCGAAGTCCCAGGCAGGGGAGGGCAGATGCTGAAGAGGACTGTACATCATACTAAAAAGTTAGTGTTTTACCAGAAAATAATAGGAAGGTGTTGACAAGTTATATGCTCTAAAATAATGCAAATCAAATTATACTGTGACGGGGCACCTGGGCGGCTCAGTTGGTCCCAGGGTCCTGGGATGGAATCCTGCCTCAGGCTTCCTGCTGAGGCTCCCTCCTTTTCCCTCTCCCTCCCACTCCCACTGCTTGTGCTCTCTCTCTCTCTCTGTGTCAAATAAACAAATAAAATCTTTTTTAAAAAATTATACTATGAAGTGAAAGTTCTTTTTATTTTTTTCCCTACTCCTTAACATCGGAAACTTTCCTAGAACATCTGGGAGTCGAATGGGATAAAATCACCAGCATCTAGTTGGAGAGTTGACAGAAACCTCAGTTTCCTCATCTGTAAATTGGAGATCATTTTAAGGTTGTTGTAAGAAGCACACAGGTAAAGCCCATTAAGCGTTTATTGTAGTGTCGGGCATATTGTAAACATTCAATAACGGTAAATTGGCACCATCTTTATTGTGATCATCATTGTAAAAACTGAATCAGAGGGGCGCCTGGCTGGCTCGGTTGATGGAGTGTCTGCCTCTTGATCTCAGGGTCATGAGTGTGAGCCCCACATTGGGTGAGGAGATTACTTAAAAAAAAAAAAAAAAAAATCTAAAAAAAAAAAAAACCTGAATCGGAGAAATTGGATTAGAATGTTAAGGGTTAAATTTAACATCTAGAGTTGAGAATAATTTTCCAAATATCCTGATTCTGTATTGCTTACAGTAATTGGACCCCTTCAGAGAGAACTACTTTGTTAGAGGCAGAGCCAGGAAAAGGCATCAGTTAGCAAAATGCATTGATTATGTACTTCTGAGGAAATTTTCTGCTGATTTTATTGTTCAAGAGAATGTAAGAAAAGAAAACTTGAGTTTCAGCAGTTGCGAGCAGTATCTGAGGAGAGCTGTGTGCTTGATTTGGTAGTTAGAGTTGGAAGAGGAAAATATCAAGGTCCATAGTTAGCAACTGCAGATAAAACCCAACTTTTTTTTTCTTCTTTCCTTCCTTCCTTCCTCTCTCTTTCTTCCCTCCCTCCTTCCCTCCCTACTTTCCTTCCTTCCTTCCCTCTATTGATTCACAGGCCCACAATAAAGAGAGTATATCATGCTTTTAATTTGCCATTAGATTGTAACTGTTTATAATCTATCCTCCTATTGTAATGACTAAAGATTATTTTTTGCAGCATTTAATTGGAATATTTTCTATAATTGCTCCAAATTGGAAATTTGAAATATAGTTCAATGATTTCAGTTTGGCTCTATTAAAGATTAGGTAGGTCAGAATTACATTTATTATATGCATAATATCATCTCCCTATAAAAAAGGACCATATTTCAATATTCTGCAAAATAATAGGTTTATTTTCTGTGTTCTGTTTTGCTAGTGCTCCTATATTCCTCCCTGTAAGAGAGAAAATCAGAAGAACTTGGAAAGTGTCATGAATTGGCAACAGTACTGGAAAGATGAGATTGGTTCCCAGCCATTTACTTGCTACTTTAATCAATTTCAAAGGTAAGCCAGTATTTGCTTGTGCATATTAAAGTTGCTTGTAGCCTTTGTAGTTAATTACAAAATAAATCGTAGATTGTGCTCACTTGACAAAATATCTGACATGGGGGTAGACTCAACTCTTTCTTTGCGTGGAGTTAGTGAAGCCATTTTACAGGCTGGCAGGCAGGTGAAGAATAAGGGGGACAAAAAGAGAACGTCTATCATGGTGCTACCCTCTGGAGAGATTAAGAAAGTGCTTTCAGAGGGGAACATCAGATACAAGTAGCACTTGCTCTCTGAGAATTACAGATTGGATACACATAAACGGAACAACGTGTTGATTTGTGAGCATTTGGGACTGCATGAAATCTTATCTTTCCTTTTCCTTTCTATTCTGATGATTTATCAAGAAAATGAGTTCATAGTGTTAAAACTTAACTTGACTTAGAGAGAGCTCAAGTTAGGCCCTATAACCACGGCTCACTGGACTAGAACACTGCAGTACCCATCCAGGTTCCTCATACTAATTTCTTTATTAAGCATTTATTGAGTATTCACAACTCCTTGCCGTACTCTCCGCTTAGATGTTCCAGTTCCATTAAACCTTCTTTTCCTCCCCTGCCCCCTCTTAGTGAAGCACGCTACCATCCCTTCGTTTACCTAGTCCAGAGAACCGTAACTACTAGTTCACGTTTCTCCTTTACACACTGCAACTTGTATTTGCCATCACGCTGATTTTACGCTGATTTTACCTCCATAATGACTCTTCTCTGCCTTCCCCCTACCCCTGTCTTAAGTCACATCCACATGATTTCTCGACTCTGAACACAAGTGTTCCAAACAGTCCTTCTACCTCCAACCTGCCCCCAGGCCAACCCCATGGTTGACGCTACTGCCAAGTTGATCCTCCTAAAATATGAATTTAATCAGGTTACTCCTCACAGTTTTCAGAGTAGAGTCCGCACATCTTGGCATGGCCTAACCATCAGGTGCCTCTTGCTGCATAACAAACCACCCCAAATCAAGTGGCTTACTACAACAGTGATTCATTATTTCTTATAATTCTGTGGGTTGGCTTGGAGATTTACGCGCAGTCAGAGGATGGCGGGATTAGCTGTGTGGGCCAGGATGGCCTCTCCCGCTCAGCACTTGGTACCAGTGTGGCCAAAGGGCCTCAGTTCTTTTCCACTAGCCTCTCATCCTTCATTAGGCTAGATCGCCTTCTTTACAATATGGTAGCTGCAGGGCAGCATTTCAAGTGAGCCAGGCCTTGGCTCTGGAATTTACATAACATCACTTTAGATACATTCCCCTGGTCAAAGCAAGTCACGAAGCCAGCCAGATTCATGCGGCGTGAAAACCAACTCTGCTTCTTAAGAGAAGAAGTGGCAAAGGTCTTGTGGCCATATTTAACCTGCCACAGCATACAAGGCTCCTTGGGTTCTCACCCCCCGACTCCCATTTTTCCAGCCTCAGCTTTATGCCCATACTCTTTGTAGTAGCCACTCTGAACTATATGCGGTTCTATAATATCTTACGTGTTTGTATCCATGCCTCTTTATTTGCTTCTCCTGCTTCTTGGCTGCCTTGATGAAGACTCTTCATGGACATCCCCTTTGCTGGGCTGTTTTGCTGTTTTTCTTGATCTCCAAGTTTGGTTTAGTTGTATATTATTTAGGATGCCATCTGTTGCATGTAAACGGAAAACTGACTCAAAGTATCACGAGGAATTAGGACATTTATTATTGCATACATTAAGAAATGCACAGGTAGACCAACATTAGGGTTGTTTGATGCAGTAGCCTAACAGTGTCATTAAGAAGCCAGGCCCTTTCTGGATCTCAGTTCTGCCTCAGATCCACTCATGGTTACCGTAGAGTTGCTGTGGCTCCAGAAGTCACAGCCAGGCATTGCAGTGTCCAAATGCAAAAAGAAAACTATCTCTCAGGGAGCCCGGGTGGCTCAGTTGATTAAACGTCTGCCTTCAGCTCAGGTTGTGATCTTGGGGTCCTGGGATCCAGTCCTGTGTTGGGGTCCCTTTTCAGAGAGGATTCTTCTTCTTCTCCCTCTTTCTCTCTCTGCCCCTGTTTACCCTCCCCCACCCCGCTGATCTCTCTCTCTCTCTCTCTCCCTCTTTCTCTCTGTCTCTCAAATAAATAAAATCTTTACAAAAAATAAAACTATCTTTCTCGGTATGTTTTTCTTGGAATTAGGGAATATTTTCTCAGCTTCCCATAACTGACCTCCTCTTAGGTATTGTTTAGAATGAGTTCCTTTGCCTACACCTAAACCAGTCACAAAAAGAATAATCAGAATATACCACTGAGTTGGGGATAGGGCAGTATCTCCTAAGTTGGATGGAGAAAGTGTGCGCACCTGAGTAGAAAGGAAGGAAGAAGAAAGGGGCTTAGATGTTACAGAATAGTCAAAAGTGCCAGCTACAAGATGTGTCTTCCATGTTCTGTTTATATAGCTGTATCCCAGAGGTCTGTAACTCTCACTTCACAGGACTATGTCAGAGAAGCTTTAAAAAAAAATGCACCACAGACGAATTAAATTAGCATCTCTGGTAATTCAACCTAGGCATTAGCATTTTTAAAAATTGGTTTTAGGGATTCTAATACACCACCAGAGTGAGAACCACAGCTTTATCCTTCCATTTATCACTCTCTACTGGAATAATTTCTGTACCCATCTTCCTCATGAGGCTGTATAGGGGTTACTGGTATGGGACCTATCTTCTTTGGCTTTATATTCCTGGGACTTAGCACAATGCCTGTTTCTTAGTCAATAAAAGTTTGGTGAATGAATGAATAAATGAAAGCAATGTGCCAGATTAATAAGGAAGGTTCTTTGCTTCCAAGGGATTAGAACTTTTTAGGAGGAACAGGTGCTTACGCAAAGGAAGTATGACTTCATCAGCTAGAAATGAAAGGAGGGAAGACATTGAAGACGGACGGCTGCAATAAAGAAACGAAGGCTTAACATGTAAGATACATCAGGTTATATAATGAGGAGTGGTGAATTTGTAAGGTCTTGGAAGGGGAGAAAGGGATAATCAAAATGGACAATTGGGAAGTCATTGGTTTTGGCAATCAGAGGTATGTTAGTGGTCTTTGTGGAAATGATGTAGGTGCCATCTTAGAGCAATGGGGTTAGAAATCATTGTATATTAGCTCGAGGGGAGGTTGTGAAGGCATTAATAAGTGCAGACTACCCTTTCAGGAAGTTTGCCATATCAGGAAAAAGAGTTTGGGAAGGAAGTAATTCAAGGGAAGCAGGAATGGGTTCAGAGAAATGAGCCCACTACAGACTAAAACTGCTGAGGAAGAGAGATACTCTCTTGTTGAACACAGACAGTAAATGAGGTGGAGTGGAACAAACACGCTCTGAAGAAAATGAGCCCGGATGAAATCAAAAGCAGCCGTGGTCCTTGTTCTGTGAAGTGGGAGCCCGGTAACGGAGAATAGGCACCGGAGGTCAAGTGATTCTGAAGCCACTACTCGAATGAATCAAGTGATCCTTTACGCTTCCTGCCGTGGACTGGGAGCCGGACCAGCTGGTGGTCCTCTTAACCAACTTCCCCTCACTCCCTGCTCAGGCATCTCTGAAGGCTGCCTCCCCCAAACACACACATGCGTCCTGTGGGAATGAATTATTCTGCATACCTCCAAGTCCCCGATGAGAAGGACTATTCCTGCAGAGTAGCGACAACTCTCTGAAAGACCTAGCCCTGCACTCCATGCTACTTGGGTTCACTTGAGCGACACGAAGGATCAGCCCTTCGTACCTCCTTCGGAATGATGCCCGTTCCCTACCGTCATCTCCCTGTCCCACTCCCAAACTGGGGGGGGAGGTGTAGGTAGAAGTGGGGGCAGTCTGTCACCACCCAGAAGCACTCAAGACATGATTTTAAACGACTCTGGGAAATCAGAAGTTTGGAGCCTGGCTCTTGTACCACGACATATGCAAGAGGAAACGATCACTGGTTGGAGGTGTGAAAATGGCAGCTCCCTGGTGCCGTCTACTCTCAGTACACTTTTTACTACTGCTAAACATGCAATAAAAATAGGCTTACTGTAGAGACGCCCAGATGCTCTCGGTAAGATGAACTTTATATTTAAAGTAACCTTTAGATTTCACTCAACTGCAGGAAATTGGGGAGAAGAGTTACCAAGAAGTTTCCATTTTCAAGAAAAGAATGTTATAGGATTTTAAAGATCTAAGGCAGAGATTATTGGAATCTCAGCTTTCACAATTTAAGTCTTTCTGAAAGAGAGCTAGACTGAGGAGTAGAATCCACAGTGGCCAGAGCAGCCACCAACAACCATGCTCACCACCAGCCATGGGAGGCCAGGCCCCAGCGCTCACCCCTCTTCCCACCCGCAGGCAGGGAGGAAGCCATGCTTGGTGGCTGACACTGGCTGCTTCCATTCGTGATCTTCCCATATAATTTTTTAGCTCTTTGCTTCCCTCAGTGTTGGGGCTCACAATCTCCCTCCAATGTGTGGATTTCCTTCTTACGCTTTTTTTTTTTCTATAGGTCACGTTTACCCTGCTCATACCATTTTGTTTTCTCTTAGCCTTTCCTTGGCTTATCCTTTCTCTGTGAAACGCACCTCACGCCCTCTTACTGAGTATGCTTTGAAATCCTTATTCGATTGACTGAAAATTTCTTTGCAGTCCCAGGCTTGTCATATAATTCTCCCACTTCATCTTTGCCTGACTGGCTTTGCCTTGAAGAGAGCATGTCCTTGGAAAATGGTTACTCATTCCTCAATCCCCTCCTGGTCAAAGGGCTGGGAGGAACGATGGGTCATTTTTCGGAATTTTCCTTTTCTGGAGAGCACAATGGGTTTTTGTTTGTTTGTTTGTTTGTTTTTCCCCCATGCTGGTCTATTTTTTACTATTTTGTCCTCCTAAGTGGATAGTAGTTCACAGAGTGCACATAGTAGGCGCGCACACACACACACACACACACACACACATCCAACCAACAAGTCCAGCCATGCCACCTGCAA